ACTGGCTTTCTTTCACACAGAAAGGTGACATGGTGTACACTGGCTTTCTTTCACACAAAAAGGTGACGTGGTGTATACTGGCATTCTTTCACACAGAAAGGTGACATAGCGTATACTGGCATTCTTTCACACAGAAAGGTGACATAGCGTATACTGGCATTTTTTCACACAGAAAGGAGACACAGTGTATACCAGCTTTCTTTCACACAGAAAGGTGATATGGTGTATACTCTGGCATTCTTTCACACAGAATGGTGACATGGTGCATACTGGCTTTCTTTCACACAGAAAGGTGACACAGTGTATACCAGCTTTCTCTTTTTCCTAGTAATTTTGTTAATCTCTTCTATAGTTTATAGCTTATTGTAGAGGGCCACAGGTTTTTTAGCATAGTTTTTGCTATTTAGTGCCACCCTCGTTAAATAAAGGATTTTAAATAAACACATATCGAATGATGTTATTTCATAAAATGGCAAGTAAATATGTTTGTTGTAGAACATAAAAGCATACATTTTTCAACTTTTTCATTTTATTCCAAACTGTGAAACGTCTTCTTGGCTAACCCAGGTCAGAGCATAGCTAATTAACAGATCGAAATTGCCTGTTAGGTTTTGTAGAGGGAAGCAAACCACAGAACCTGAACAAAACCTCTATGATTCAAAGAAATCAGACCTAACAAACTCTACTCAAATGTGATACAGTGAACCAGAGACCCCTGACCTGGGAGGCAAATGCATTTCCACTTTACCTCCCTTGATTCCCAGTGGTATGAAAAATTGCAATTTTTGAAAAATTCATGCTGTGCTGATATATCCTCAAAAATCAACCACACCCTAAATCCATTGTTTAATGTAGGTTCATAAATTCGGCAGAAAACCCAGATTCTCAAAGCCGGTGGGAATTGATATCAACAGGGTAGAGCGGGGCTGAATTATAAACACGGGATAGGTTTTTAATTACACGGATATATTGTAAGCACTCTATTTCCAAAAGAACAAAGCAACAGTATCCTACCACTCTGAATTCACTATTACTTAGTATTTCCTGTTTTGTGTCGAAACAATGGGATTTAGGGCTTAGTTGATATTTTAAACCAGTTCTAAGCGGCCCTYAGTCTTGAATTCTAATGCAAAACCAAGCCCGTCCGTTTGAACCTTTATTTATAGACCCCCTGGAGGAATATTGTTCTCTTCTTATTCAAATTCATTCACTTGTCCCCCAGAACAAATCCTCTGGGACTCAGTGCAAGGGGTCTATACCTTACTTTTGCATTAAAAAATTCTGCATTGTGCAATAATTAACGATATTCGCCTCAGGCTTAGTGAATATAGATAGGGGAATATTTATGAGTCTTTGAGCGGTGAGGTAAATATTCCCCTATACTCACTGAGCCTGGGGTTACTATTTGTTTTAGTATTTCTAACACAAGTGAATTTTAAAAAAATATTTCCCAATTCAAGGGGAAAAATAATAAAAAAGAGTACAATTTTGCTATGATTTGGTTAAAAGATTTAGCTTAAATTAAGTTTAGTGAGAGATAATTTTACTTACCTACATACAAACACCCATACGTTTGAGGCCAATACTTATTCAAAGCCATTGATAGTATATCGTTTCAGCAGCTCCGTCTCTTTAGTAGTCGTGGTTAATGTTGTGCCATAAAGATTATTGTGAGTCAACCAAACTCTGTTGGAGTTTTCGGTTAAAATCAGTGATGGAACGCTAGGTTTACAACTACACCCATTGTGGTATCAGCACTCGCACAGACCACGAATAGGAATCTTTTTCAAACTCAGTGAAATTTCAGCGAAGGCAGAAGTCAAATAAACAAAGCCATATGTATTCAGAAAGCCTTGATTCCTCGAGACCAAGTCACCGGCATCGTTCAAACCACAGAATCAGATACAGTGATGTTCATCGAAATGTTATTCTAAAGTTTTGACAACCAGACTTTAAGCCACACTTGTCGACACAGAATTTAGGGAATTCTTGCGAAATATGGCCGAATAACAACAACGTTATTTGGAATAATATCATACGTAGACCAGACACAGGTATCAGAGGGTGTTTCGCTTTAAATAATGAATCAATATGAATTATTAATTTAAGAAGAAAACCCACCCTCCTTGGTTCGATGGACGCCCTAAGCACGCACGGCATGCTGGGAACAATCTCTTTTCCTTTTCCTTTCCTTTAGATCTTTTTGTTTCTTTTAGAACAAGTAGCAATTTTCGAGAGTAGAAAATTACTTCTTAAATTAAAACAGGTTAACATTTTGTTAGGCCTCTTCTACAAAAGACAGCAAATTTGACTAAAATTTACTGGAAAATAATTAAGCAACACATATGTAAAAACTTAAGACGTGCCCGTTTGCATCATCCTTGCACCCTTTCTATTTATAAGCTATCTATAATTTAATAACAAAAATACTATTCCGTAAAAATTATTAAGATTATCATTGCGCTTTGTCCAAACTGGGCTTCCTGTGTTCACGGCTTCGTTTAAATGTGACAAGCCATTCATAATTTTAAACGATATTTTTCCAAATGAAGGCGATCTCACTTCAAAAGTGCCAAATTTATTTCCTCATTCCCTATTAACTCTTACTCATGCTATCACTTAATAAATCGAAAATAAACTAGTTTATAATTCAAAAATAAACTAGTTTTCACCCAAATATTATTTTAATTATTCAAAGGAACTATTTTGTTTCTCCGCAAGTAATATTGATAAAACTCTTCGCGCTAAACTATCTGATAACTTTTGAATGGTAAATCAGTCACATTGAAGTGCTTAATGGTTCAGCTACACATTTATATATTTTGGTTTTTTTTTTTCTTCTCTCTCACTTTTTTATAGCGGAGCGCAGTCGTGACGTCACGAAATTGTGACCCCTGCTGAGATTCGGACAAACAAATCAGCCTTTAAGAGATGGCATGGCGGCAACTTCGAAAATTACGTCGAGTTTTATCACTGTTCTCAATGAAAATGATGGCGTTCCTGGTTCAAAATTTGAAA